CTGTGCGCTTGAATTTTATTATGTTTTGAAGAATTTTCCTAACCTAGCTTTTGTTTGTAAATGAACGTTACTATTAGAAGATGAGTGAAATGGATAATGAAAAATATTGTTCGTAACCTCCTGTATATTGTCGGGTCAGGTAAAATCTTGTACGTTACACGTTACGCAAGAGCGTGTTTACATCACTTCGGTAAATTATGCAACTCGCTTCCGCTCGTTGCACAACATTCACCTGCGTGATGTAAAAACGCTCTTACTACACTTGTAAGGTAAATAGCTATTACTATTGCAATACCAGACTTCTTAGGCGTTTTGGCTAAGACTAAAAGTTATTCAAAATCTTGAAACCTTGAAATAGAACCAAACTGGTAGATTTTTAGAGGTAACTTGATAACTTGTTTATTTTACCTGTGAAGGTTTGCAAAGGTCCACTCCACCAAGAGAGAGAGAGATATATATAAATCAATGTCTATAATGTATTTACACATATTACATAGGCTACCTAAACCTACTTATAAAACTTTTTTTTCTTTTAAAGGTTTATATAAGTGAACTCTACCATAGACTACTCTACATATAAAAAAACACTTACAGAACATATGATTGAAAGCTAAGTATACTGGTAAGCAGAACTGTCTAGAGATTGTGGAATTTCTTTCTTTATCAAACTATTTGCAGAAAATTACTTTTTGTCTTCTTTAATCATAATATAGCAAAAAAAAATAGAATAAGATGGGAACCTCCATGTTACTAAACAACACACAATAGCCAGTGAAGTTTGTCACAGTAATTGAATCTAACCCTAGGTAGGTAGCTAACTTACCACTTACAGCTAATGACAAAATTATACTTACACAGATGAAGTGTTTCATTTTGAAAGTTGGAGTGGATATCTTGGGCTCTCATTAGGTTTATATACCTTGGTAGGCGCAGGTGGTTGTGTTGGTAGACCTGTCGTCTACTTGACATTAGTGTTTGTTAAGTTGGCAATGTCTTGACACTAAGTCAACATTTCAACCAGCTGATTCCCAGAATCAATCATTCATGTCCATGAGATGTCATTGGGGTTTGTATGAGTATTTAGCAATGGAAGAATATAGCACTAACTGAATGTCATTGGTGTCATAGGTTTACACTTTAAAGTAATTTTCACTTTTAGATTATTATGGTAAAATTAATTTGCTCTAGACTAAAAAGAGTACAAATTTGTTTATATTAATTAAATTCATGGTTAAATTTTAAAACTTTATGTGAAGGAAGGCAGTAATATTTCAAATCTTATTGGTTACTCTGTGGTGTGCAATATGAAACTCCTCTTTAAAAAATTGATGGAATAGTATCTTCTGAATAAACAAAAAAAATAATAAATTATCAAAGCCCTGTAAACTGTGCATCAAAACTTAATTGTTTTTGTTAGCACTTCCTAAACAGCTGTATGACATTTTTACTAACTGGGGACCATTTCATAATAAAGTACAAACTAATATTATTAGTAAATCAGCTGATCGCCCAATGCAAATCTTATGGAAATTACAAGTTACAAGTTGTAACTTGTAACTTGTAGTTTATTATGAAATGGGCCCCAGCTGTCAAGGTTTAGTGAGATTTGTGTCAATGGAATCCAGATTGATGAGGGTTATTAGATATTGAATGAATTTCCGAATTTAATTGTCAGCCATATTAATAATAATAATAACTATTGGTACAAAAAGTAGATTATACCAGTCAAAATGTTACTATTAGAGTTATTAGTTGAGATGGGTACTCCACCTAGGTGCAGTATTTTAACCCAAATAATGAGTGTAGAATGTAATGAGATGATCTGTGTAGCTTTGTTACTGGCTAGGATCAGCTGTTTCATTAGAATTCATTGTCCTACTTCTGGATATTGCTTTATATTAATTAAATTATTTTGTTACCTTACAATATCCTGTTTAGTGTTGGTAGACAAACTACATGTTTCGTGGCGACTGCCTCATCCTCAGGTTTATCCTCTTCTCAATTATGTTATTTAATTTATTCCAACTTTGTATATTATGTTGTTATACCTTGATATTATGTTGTACTTATTTATTTGCATTCACTCTTACTGTAATATTGTGAATTAAATTATGGCCTTCCGTCGTCAAGGCCACATTATGACGTTTGACGACAGACATGTTTCATTAGCCAGGATCATTAATTGTGAGTTATATTTTGCAAAAAAGAAATAATTTCTATATATGATGATTACCATAGCAGTAACCTACAAGAGAGTTTGTGACAGCAGGTAAATCAATGTGATTCCATATTCAAGAAATAATTCCTATCAAGGCTTAACTTGTCGTTAAGCCAAACACTTGTCCAACATTTTTTTTATGAATGACTTTTTAAATTTTTGTCCTTGGTTTTACAATATACAATACAACTATTTTGTGAAAAAATATACTATTTGAACTGGCAATCACACCAAATGCTTACAATTATTATAAAGCATAGGTATTATAATTTTGAATCCACACAGAGAAGGGATAAACTACTGAGCATTTCAAAAAAAGGTATGTACTTAAATACAACAATAGTATTTTTTTTTTGCAAATCTGAAAAGAAAATTTATCTACTACTGTAGACATTTTCATGTACTGCTCAAATGAAATTATAAATTATAAAAAAATTAATAAACAAATTAACCAGGGATTAAACTCACAGTAAAATCATCCTTATCTGCCAAAGCTTTGAACAGTGGCATGCATGCTATGATAAAGGATTTTCATCCATTTGTGCGTTATCATGTCAAAAGCTGGAAATAGCCTTTGTGCTCAAAACTGTTGACAGAACCAGCGTTGTATGAAATAAGGTAAAATAAACATTGACAGGACGTGTTATCTCATCAGCCCAACGTTTGTTAACAAAGGATTTGTGTAGTAGCTGGTACAAGGTAGATTAATTATTTCCCATCAAATTTTCGATAGTAAATTTGAATTTGCTGTACATCACATCACTTCCCTGTATTATCTTATATATGAAGAAGATACTAGGGCAGTGCAGGCTCATTTATGATAAAATAAAGGTTTGTGCTTTTTAAGACAATAACACCCCTATAGGTTTATAGGCTAGCCTATATTATAAATAAATAAATATGTCTTTATTAGGCATTTCTCTGGTACACCAGCTTTTCGTGATACACAACTTTCGTCACTATACTAGACCTTATTCTAATATTTGGCCATTAGACTTAGACACTAAGACAATAATTAACATTTTTTTTAACACATCTTATAGGGTTTTTCTTTAAATGTTTTGATAGATGCAACAACCTTCAGGCCATCGGGTAGCCCATTGTACAATGGAAGGTCCAAATATGAGAAGCTCTTCCACTCAAGCTCAAGAGAAACTCTTGGGAGGTGAAGCCTCCCACCATGACATGTCCTGCGCTGGGAAACCTCATTGGATCGTGAAGAGAAAGCCTCTCGTGTATTGAAATTATGGTTTTTAGAGAAAAATTGGGAAATTTTATGTTTTGGGCTGAAAAAGAGAAAAAACAAATTCCCCCGATCCCCCCATACATCCCCGTTCCCATGGTCCAATCATATGCTGGTTTGCGAACTCGTTGGAATAAAAGTAGGTTTACACGTTTGTACCAAATTTGATCGAAATCAGATTTACGTATATAAAACGTATATAAACGTATTCACCCCTTGCTTTGCTGGATACGTTCCACGCACCGCCTATGTGGATGGGCAAATGCAAGGTTAAAAGAGAAGAGGCCACCAACCTCTTAAAAAAAAAACACCCGCCCAGGCATATACCGAGGCAGGAAACTCCAAACTACCTTCAACCAACCACAATCAAAATAGTTGTCTATATGCTATGCCTCAACTGTTAAACGGCCTCAACTCGCTCACGGCCACCTCGAGTGACAACGTGTGTCAAGTAGGGTGTTGTAACAGCTGTTTTGTTTGGAGGCAGCTAATGGTATTTGTGTGTTTTTTTTTTAAGAGCATGAAAGTTTGGTGACTGGGCTATTGATTGACTCCACTTTAAATGTACAGAAATATATTTTAAATGTATTTTGTTTTAGATTTCTATTCTATATGTTTAATTTTCAATCTTTTAATAAATTTATGATCATAAATTTAATTTTAAATTATTAGTACTCGAATTAATGAGCTGGTGTCCGTTTGCCATGTTATCTTTATGGGACGTCTGGCGCTAAATAACACTTGCGACGTTGCCAATTCTAGCAGGCCGCGGCCTGGAGTTAAAGGTGGCTGTGCCGGACTCCGCTGTGTTTCCATCACGTCGCGTTGTCCGATCGATCCAACCACGATAATGGCAACCGTTTGCTTAAAAAATGTATTGTAAATATAGACTATAGTGTTTTAGTGATAATAAGATGACTTAATTAAGAAGACCCCTGAAGATGCCAAATAAGGTGGAGAAATTCATCAGCTACGGTAACACAGACATCTTACCTACTCAAAAACTATAGGCTACAACAGCCAACAGCAAAGTTAATCATTCAAGTTCATCAAACTGAAATGGAAAATGAATATTACAACGCACCACGAAACACTTTGCAGCATTCCTAGTCTCTAAAAAAAATGTTTTGTAATTTAACCACGGCCATATTTAATTCCAGGCCACCCTGGACTGGAGTTAAAGGTGGCCAGGCATGAACTCTCACACCGGCTCTTACTCCCACGTCGTACACTGTCCGCCAATCGAATGTGAATAAAAAGTGTAATTTCGCGTAAACAATATAACAACAGTGCAAATATAAGAAGTATTTTTCTAGTACTGTAATCGTGATAAGAATTATGAACTGATGGCACACAAGTGATGCACATCGAGCTTTGTACGTTTCATTATAAAAGATATTACAGTAGCATAGCATGCATCGCCTTTCATCCATAGTCCGTAGAAAATATATTGGAAAGAAGAAGAAAATGATAATAAAGTGTTGTTTTGTATTCTGTGTACTGACTGTTTGACTGTGTATTGTCAATTGTCATTGTCATGTCAAATACTGGAAAACAACATAATGTATAACCTATAAACTTTTCTATTTCTTATTAGACCTATTTTAAAATGATTAAACAAAATGACTTGTATTATGTATCAAACTATTAACTAACTAAGATAGTGTAGTCGATCCCTGGAGGATTAAAAAATATACCTCGTCGAAATCCACGAAAATGTTTAAATTTGGGTTTGCTTCAGAATGTCACGATGCACAACAAAGTCTTGATTTAAAAAAAGGTAAAGTCCCTACTTGCTATTTCATATTTGTTATACTTTATATTTGATTTATAGATATCCTCAAACTATCAGTGGTATTTACGTTAGGACTATGTGCTTAAATCAATATAACTTGTTAACTTAGGCTCAGGCCTATATTATAAATTGTAACTTAAAACTAAGTTCATTAACCTCCACCAGAATCGTAATAGCCTACTGCTAACTTCATCACAAGAAAGCCTAGTAGTAGTTCTCGAGGTTTTAAAAGTACTCCCGATCAAGGTTAACCTAACCTAACTAACCAAACGATATATCAAATGAAACAATCGATATTTTCATTCGAATGAGCGTAGGACCTAAAGTAAAGTGCAGGCGTTTCTCCTCTTACCTCCGTTTAAATGCCCAGAGCAACTGAAATCAGACCACTGTTGTACAATTCTAAACAGATTTTATTCTAGATTACCTTTAGAGCCTGCTAAATGATATTCTGGTTCCCACAAGACCGTTCAGCAGTAAAATCTCCTGATTGTTGGGTGTGGCCAAAAAAAAGGTAGTACTGTACCCACAAAAGTGTGCTCTTTTCCTGCAACCCATTCAAATTGTTCAGTACGATCCACCAGTGACCTACTAACCTAAAGTTTGAGACACGCCTCAGCCTAACCTATTTGAAACAAAATTAAATGAAATGATATTTATTTGTCTGTAGACATTATATAACTGCATGAGACACAGTCAAATTATATAAATACATGCTGGTAGAAGCACAAGTCAAGTTCAGTCAACTAATAGTAAACAATTAGTGTACCGGTACAAGGTTTTAGGACACCTAAACTTACACATCATGCAAATTTGATATCATTAGGGAACTGCACATAAGTTTACCACCATCTGAAGGCAGAACCATAAGCATTTAGGTTATGCCTTCACAACCAATGAGGTCTACCAGCCCTTACTAGTGATGTGCGTATCGATTTAAATATGGATACAAGGACTGGAAAATATCGATACACGGAAGCGTATCGATACACCTAAGAACCAATATCGTATTGTTTATTAATATAACTCTAATTTTTAAGGTAAGTTACTATCCTCCCAAATGTAGTATAGTGGAAATTTGATATTTTACCCTACCATCCTCAAAAACACTGATAGGCCTAAAACATGTATTTTCAGCTGTTTTGCAAATAACCTCAAAACTAGAGCCATCATTAGGCCTAATGGAAGTGGCACTCTCATTGTGCATATTTTTACTATTAAATGTGTCAGTCGGCCTACCCACCACCATTATAGTACGTTTTCTATATTAAGTATCCATGTGCAAAAACTAGGGGAAAAAATAACAAAATCTGTTTTCAGATTTTGAGGGCTTACCGGAAGTTAGAGGTTATGTAAGTAACGTAGTATTTTGTCTCCCAGCTTGTACATTCGAGATATTTGCATTTATTTCTAAAAATTTGAAATAACAAATACGATACGATATTTGATCCAATACGGGTAAACATGGATACATGAAGATACGATACGATAAACGTATCGATACATCCCGCTCCGATACGATACATTTGTCGATACACATCCCGTTCCGATACATATTGATACGCCGTATCGATTCATTGACCTGTATCGAACATCACTAGCCCTTACAGCCTGAGCAAACTGTTAAAAAGTAAAATACAGTAGCCCTGATCTTACTATCCTACCAGTCTTCAATTACGGTACAGTAGCCTATAAATCATACATAGGCCTATCAGTTTTGAAACCAAACCACCAATATTAATGTTTCTATTTCACTTCCTCTTCCCATTGCAAAGCACGGGTAGAACAGCTAATTAAAATATTAAAATCAAGAAACTAACAGCGTACGGTACCACTTGGGTAAAGGTTCTCGGGTAAGGTCGTACTAGACCTAGGGTGCGGCCTCGGTCTACTAGGCATACTGGCCTTCAAGTTGGGTGCGGAGTCAGTTGTATTTCAGGATTATGTAAGTGAAATTTTCTTGCCTTCTAGCAGTAGGTAACCTTTTTTTGGCTTTGTAAAATTTTAAAATTGAGATGCCACAAAGATAGGTAGGCTACTTTTTAACTTTTCAACCCCGTTACAGCAGTAGTGCGCCATACTAACATGTGAGCGCTAAAATACAAGTCCCGTGCTACCTTCCCATGCAATATTTTTGTGGGGAACGCCTAGTCATACCCCTGCCCCGCTCATTGCCAGTACGGTAGGCCTAATTACTGTACTGTCACCAAGATTACAGTAACTGTGTTTGTATAAAGTTCTTTTACTATATGCTTAGTCACTGATCGTATTTTTAATACCATTGTCAATGGAATGCAGAATTAATTTTAGTGTATGGTGATGTTTTTCCTGAGTTTCCAGGTACCTATCCAAATTTCAGCATAGTACTAAATTCGAAACTACGATTCGGTTAATCAAATTTAAAAACTGTTGTTCTAGAGGAAAGCAGTGAAATCAGTTTAGACTGGGTTCCAGCGAATGAAGTTTTTTTGAAAAATGCTATTTCCATCGACATCCTCCAACCAAATGACGTTGAGAAAGTTAAGATTGGCTCAGAAGTATTGTCATGCATTAAGGGAACTACAGTCTCCTCTGTAATAAATAGTACAAAGTTTGATGTGGAAGAAAATATTTGTCTTGCTGAAAGAAATCATTCTGATCTGATTCCATCAAAGTATGAAGGTAGTCTACTCGATCGGTTTAGTAGGTTGAATTCTTGAGTGTTTATAGAATAATCCATTGTGGCTAATAATTATTCATGATTTTATATATATTTTTTAATAGGCTACCTCAAAACAGGGAATAAATTATGATTATTGATGTTTATTCTGTGGAAACAGACCACATTCCTCCATCGAATGGAGTCTCCAGTGCTCACCAGTAAATGGGTTATCAATTATTGCCTGATTGCCAAAGTAATCCATGGTCGGTTTAAATGATTTAGTTAACGACTACCATTTTCAAACCATATCAGGCAATGGAGCTTAGTACATAGAACTTCACAAAGAATCAGTGTATGTAAGACTAACATTTTCAAACCATATCAGGCGAGTAGCATGGTACGGTACGTACAACTTCACAAAGAATCAGTTTATTTGTAAGACTAAAATTTTCAAACCATATCAGGTGAGTAGCTTAGTACGTAGGCCTACAACTTCACAAAGAATCAGTGTATTTTTACACAGTTTTTATTTCTTTTGTTTTTCAGATGTTTGTTTCTGAGATATGCATTTTAGTCAGAGATAAGTTATTAAGGTTAAAAATTTTGTTGATAACTGATTCTGTATGCTTCATAACAATAATCGCTCTTCTTTCATTTGTCAGTTGTAATACGACTTAACTCATCAAAACTATACTTTTTTTAATACACATTTTTTCTTCTCAAGGTGGTCTAAAGCTGTGGGAATGTACTCATGATGTAGCTGGACTATTACATCAGTCAGAAGTCTCGGGTAAGGTCGTACTAGACCTAGGGTGCGGCCTCGGTCTACTAGGCATACTGGCCCTCAAGCTGGGTGCGAAGTCAGTTGTATTTCAGGATTATGTAAGTGAAGTTAATTTTTCTTGCCTTCTAGCAGTAACCTTGTTTTGCCTTTGTGATATTTGAAATTGAGATGCCACAAAGATAGGTAGGCTACTTTTTAACTTTTCAACTCTTGTTACAGGCGAAGCTTTCCATTTTTCAAAACAAAAAAGGTAACATTGAAACATTTTCTTGGCTCAGTAATTTTCACTTCCATTTGGGATGCGTAACACACTATATTTAAACTTTACATCAGATAAATTGGTGTAAATAACGGCATTTAAGTGTCTAGGACGTTTGCTGTAGGGCAACTAAACTAGTTTAGGAGATAGTAAAGAAAATACTGCTGCTGATGGGCGTGACTAAACTTAAGATGAGAGTTTGAGTCTAGACATAACTTCGGTCCAATCATGTTGTGTCCTGCCTATCAGCAGTATTAAGCTATGTTATTTGTTATGTTCTCGTTTATTGTCACCAAAATGTTTTTTTTTTTAACTACTGTTTAAAAGTATCATAATATATATTACAAAACTGAACAGAGCCCACAATACGACCTAAATTTCATAAGTTTTTCTAGAATGCAGATGTTCTCCGGTGTGTAACAATCGCCAATGTCCTACTGAATGCAGACGACTCACAGCAGTCTCGGTGTAGTTTCTTTTCCGGTGATTGGGCTTCGTTTGCAGACCTGTCACCTGTTTGCAACCTAATCGTCACCTCAGAGACTATCTACAATCCTGCCAACTACACAAAACTGCATGAAACCATCAAACGGTTACTGAAACCAGACGGAATGGCGTATCCTTTGTTTTATCGATTTTGCTAAGCAATGTTTTATTATTATTATTTAAAGAGCAACGTAGAATTTATTGGAAACTTTATCCACAGAAAAGTCAGGTACAGAGGAAATATTCAATGGTACACCTAAGTGGTGTCTAGCATTAGTCGTTGGTGTTTAGGACAAAATCCAACATTGTCCCCCCTCACTCTCAGATACTACAACGCTCATGGTGAAGGAAGACCATGTGCCCTGTCTGATAGGAATTATCGCACAGTGATCGCCACTTGGGCTCTTACTTGCTTGTCACAACATACTAGAGCTGAAATTGCACACGTGTTCGTCCCATAAGCAAGTTGTCTCTGTACCTTACTCCTCTATGGTTTAAGTGGAAGGACTTTTATTCTTCCTCCATTTAGTTGAACAGTACTTAAAAAAGTTACTAGAAACACACCACATTGTCACTAAAACAACTAGGAAAGTAAAATAACCAGTACTACAAGCCAGCGTCACATTGTGACTTCAAAATCTGTGATATATTTCAATTAGTTTACAATTTTCTGTTGTTCTGAGTTAAGTTGAAAATCGTCTATTTAATAATGAACTTATCACTGATCTCTTCAAAGCATCTTAGAAAAATTATAATCAATAAACTAATGAAACATACTGTGAAACACAAATTCCTATAAAAACACAAAATCTAACGTAAGCCATTTTCTTATTTACATTTATACAAATAACATTACAATATTTTACTTGAATTCACTAAAACATCACCAACTGATAACCCCATTTTTGTATGGATTTAAAAATAGTTGTATCATGTTCATCTGTTTTTATGTAAATAAATGTAAACTTGAAAAAGTTCAGATGATTGACAACAGAATTCAGCACAAACTGAAATTTTAAAAGCCTATAGGACGAAGGCTTTCACGGGATATCCAAACCCAAAAAAGGCGCATCTAGAGGATAAGAGCTTTAAATTGGTACCCAATATGCCTATACCTATAAAAATAAATATTTACGGGTTAATTGCCAGATACAATAATCCAACAAATTTAATAATATCTTTCATAATATAGATAATTCCAAATTCACCAAAAAATTTGGCAAAATAAAATACTTTCCTTAACTGTGTAGTTTGATTGGGGCCAAATCATACTACTTCGGAGTTGGTGGAAGTATAAAGCAATTTGAGAAACTAGTTAAAGAGAAGAACGTCTTTGAAGTTGAAACTGTTTGGAAGTGCTCACAAGGTTTGTCTTTGTTTACAGAAAGCCAAGACATCAACATAACAATATGCAAAATCAAAGTTAACTCTTGAGGTTTAGGGATTATTCTTTTAATTAACTTTGCCAATTTTTATTATGTTTTCCCTTAAGAACAACAAATTTTAGTTCTTAAGAAGCATGTTTTTAATTAAAAAAAAACTAGTGGCAAAATGCTTTGACATGAGATGCAACTCACAATGAATACACCCAACCTTCCATCCAAGCCGTTTATTTTAGCTGGGCTTCTCCCATTAAACTCTGACACAGAAGTGTTAACTCCTCAGAGTTATACACCAGACCTGACCGAGACGATTGATTAGATTAATTAGTCTGTCACACTAAAAATCACGTAAATCATACCCAAGCCTAGTTCTAAGGCTTGAATCCCAGGTTTCAGTAAGTCAGATAAAGATTTCAGATTTTTGTTAAGATGCTTGTATGTATTTTTAGGCCTAGTTAGAACGTTTGGTTATTTTCTTTCTAATTAAAAGTTGAACTTTTATTGAGATGACTTGAGAAATTGTCAATTTTTCTGATGCATTATTTTGTTGCAGGAGTCCAAAGGGAGATACTGAAACTAACATTTAAAAATGGGAAGTCGTAGTCTTCGAAAAAATAACTTGAAAAAGAGACTCAGTTTTGCTAATGGACCTGAAAACTGCAAGTGCTGTAATTTTTAGAGTGCAAGTTCTTACTAAAAATGTTAATTATAGCATCCCACCAATGCAAACTAATCGGGACCTTGAATAACCAATCTGTTCATTTTAGCTGGAAATTTAAGAAAAATCATAGCATAACTAAGACTATATTTAAACGACTGTAAGTTGAAATAATATTTCAATATATTCAGTGGCGTAGGGACAGTGAAGTGAGTGAAGCAGTTGCTCCAGGGCGGCAAACACTAGGTGGCGGGAGAGGCGACAGGCTAGGATTTTTTTTTTTACTATGTTGTTGTCAAGCGTGGTAGGGGCGGAAGGAAGGTGAATGGTAGTTTTAACTATTGCCACAACGAGCGCTGTGTGCTGTGATCTGTCAACATAATTATTACAAGATCACTGATTAGTCAAATAAGTGTATACTGTAGTGATTCGTGAGGTTAAGTTTATTGTGCCCCGCGAGCCGGTATTCGAGTTGTTGGCTTATACCACTGTTGTTTAGTGCTAATAATGAACTATGGATTCGGTTAAAAATATGTCTACAAAGTTTGCGGGTGGTGAGGAGGTAAGTTTTGAACAGAGTTGAGTTAAAGCTGCTAGGCCGGCCAAACCCCGATTTAGTTTGTACTGTTCAATTATGCCTTGGATAATGCCCGAACGGGCATTAGCTTCTAACCAAGTGCTTAGACGTCACCAACATCAAAATGTCATTTGTAAATTTGCGTCCTTTGCTCAGTTCCTTCTGTTTACGTGCGTGTTTACACGCGTGTTTACGTGGTAAAGTTACCCTTTCTTGGGGAGATTTCTAAGTAAGGATAAGTTCCTTCCAATGAACTTTATTTAAATTCATGCTTTTGTTTTCAAATACCCTAATCAAATAGGTTAAATATAATAAACGCAATAAAAATATTAATCTATGTTTTAAAAATTATTATGTTCAATTGTATAAAAACGCTAGTTTACAGTTATTATTTTTTAATCCCCCCCCCCCCCCCCATGGCGGGTATACCATAAATCCCAGATCCCCCAGTACAGGGGGACGGTTTGGGCCATCCTAGCTCCAGGGCGCTCCAAACCTGGATACGCCACTGAATATATTATATTGCTCCTACGATCAAGACAACACCGTGATTATTTCTCGCTATCATGCTCTTACTACATGATGGCCTGAATAGAGAACCTATGGGACTCTATTAACAAATGGTAATCAGTCTATTGGGGATTATTCAAATTTCCCATAAAAATCCTTTGTTTTTAAATACTTCTTAGTTTGTTTTGTTTCTTAAATTGTTAAGGCTATGTAATTCAGATTCAACTCTTCTTGGTTTAGGGGGCACAAAAACATATCATACATGTTTAAGCCATCAGTTTTAAGTTGTGTGGCCATTTTCTGGTGTTCCTAGAAATTTAATTTGCTCTAGTAAGCCAGCCTAACTAGTAAGTCAATAGAATTTTCCAAAAAATACATCAGTTTGTAATATTTGATGTAAATAATTATTTAGTTTTATAAAAATTGTATAGGACTTAATAAAAGTTTGTTTTATTGCCATTACTGTACAACAGTTCAATCCAGCCCTAAAATATTTCTTCTTTTGTGTTATAATTTTTATACCAGCACTGAAAAATTATTTTGAACTCATGGCCATGGTTGATTTGCTCTAGAGGCATGTGCGCATGGGCAATTGCTGACACGTCTTCTGAGACAATAAAATCGGCAAACAGCGTGGCAGTCTCAGTTTGACAAAGTTAATGAAGCACTTTTTCTGTGGTTCTCCCAAGAAAGGGAAAGGGGAACCCCTTTGAGTGGACCTATTGTTCAAGAAAAGGTAATACAGTTGAACACCCTGTTCCTTCACGGACAGTACCAGTTGGTTTGACCGGTGGAAAAAACGCCACAATATTCGGCAACTTACTGTCACCGGTGAACAACTTACCTCAGATTAGGCTGCGGTGCAGTAATACCTTGCTTTATTTCATAATTTAATAAGTGAAGGAAATTATTCCCCCTAAGATATTTCTTAAGTAAGGCCTAAATTTGAGACCTTTTCCTCTGAATCAGAAAGTCGTGCTAATGGGTTTAAGATGTGTAAGGGCCAAGTAACCATAATGGCTTGTTCCAATGCTGCTGGTAATCATAAGCTTCCTTTCATGATGATAGGCAAAGCTGCTATGCCTCAAGCCTTCAAACATATTAACATGAAGTCATTTACAGTGTATTATAGGAACCAGAAGAGAGGCTGGATGGACGGGAAACTGTTTAAAGAATGGCTCCATGACCAATTCGTACCATTTGTTTAACGATTTAGCCAAGAAAATGACATCCCCCCATGTGCCATTCTTTTGATAGATAATGCGCCGTCCCACCCAGTTGTCGACAAACTTGCATGTGGCGAAATAAAGGCTGCCTTTTTACCACCAAATGTGACGTCTTTACTGCAACCAATGGACCAGGGAGTTTTGCAGGCACTGAAGCTAAAGTAATTGCAAACATTTTTTAAAGTCCTTAATTGAAGATGATGCATTTCCCTTGGTTTAAAAATTAAACAGACAAACGTAAAGGATGTTGTGTATTGGGCCGCTGAATCTTGGGAAAATGTGACAGCTGGAGCTAAAAGAAAATCGTGAAAAAAGTTATGGACATCTTAAGATTTAGAAGAAACCCCTACCGAAAATGACTCAGTTAACTTGTTACCAATGATTGAAAACATTCCTGGTTGTGAAAATACGTTCCAAGAGGACGTGGATGAATAGATGGCGGCGGACGGCAATAGTGCAGAGAATCTGACTAACAATGACATAATAGCAGCACTGACGCAAGATCATGTTCAGGGTGTTGAGGGGGAGGGTAGTGATTACGAGCCAGTGGGCAGGGGAGGAGAGGAGAAAGTGACACACAATGACCTGCAGTGCTTGACCTTGAACAACAGTCTACTGCTAGGCCTGCAGATGTGATGTTCATGAGAAAATGGCAGAACTACGGGGCGAAAAACAGACTGACAAAACTACAACAAATGACGATGCAGGATTTCATGTCTAATAACAAGTAGGCCTAACCTAAGTTCATTTTTCAGTACAGTGTGCAATATTTCTTACAAAATATTTCTTTGTTTTATAGGTTTTTTTATTGTTTTGTAAATTTAATCTTTGCTAATAAACAAACCTCCCATTGCCTTTTGTATAGTGCAAATTTATTGAAAAATAATTTCGGGAACGTTTTCGGATTAAGCGGACGTTTGGATTAACCGTGTTAGGATTACCGGGACTAGAGTGTATGTGTCAGATTGCTGATATTGTTTATTTATTTTTATTTTTAGGCTTTTGATAGTAACATGCTGTATACAATCAGAGTAAATTATAATTTTTGTGCTTTCACTGTGACCACAGTAAGCTTTTTTTACATTTACAGGTATAAAAATAATTTCACCAGGTTAAATAAATGTAGTTTTAAAAAAATCAAAGGAAATTAGTAGATACATACAATTACAAAACATGCTTTCTATATTAAATTGTATGACAAAAACAATATTTGTGTATGTGACATAATTTTACGACATCTTAAGCCATAAACTGTTCCAACTTATAAGGGAAACTTGTGTTGGAAGACCTGAGTTTATGGAAGACTAGATGACTCTAAAATTGCATGATTCAAGGAGCGAGCCGTTCATAGACCCAACCGTTCTCCCCTACATGTGTCAACCGACCGTCTGCTTTCTCTCCCGATTTACAACGTCGAAACCGAATACGATCGTGAATCCGGTTGCTCTGCCCTTGCCAAAACTCTATTGTTTCTGGCTCCAATATGTATCCACCCCTGCAACAGAGATACAAGTCTCTAGTTTATTCCAAGCACTATCTTCACTTCAAAATGTTAAGACTGACGACTATGTAGAAATTAAGTGCTACATTTAACTAAGAATATACACAACGATGAAGATTTCCCATCCCCATTTTAAACTTGCAGGTACAGCAGAGTATCGATTATCCCAAGCCCAATCATATAACTCATCAGTTAACCAAGAAGTGGCTGATCAGATCATGGCTCAAAAACGACCATTACTAAATGGCTGGAGCAAGTCAATCTAATGGGTCAAAGCTGACAAAACATACCAATGAGGTGGTCGAGGAACCTCCTTATTCGCGTACAGTTGCTCTAACTCTGCCTCCTTCTCGGTGAGTGTTGCTCGACTCTCTATCACTGAGCTCTGGTTGCTACAGGCAGTGCCAATCTGACTAGCCCGAGGCCTGGAGTGGAAGTATTGGTCAGAATCTGCCTCTGGCACCCTTCGCACTTTGCCTTCAATCCTCACCTTTTAACAAAGAAGATAAGATCTTTTTTGACGTAGACAGTAAAATTGAAGTGAATCGGAATATTTGTAATGGATTGGATGATGGACCTAAAAAGATTAAACAAAAATTTAAGGTAAACACCAATGAAGATGTGAAAATATATGGTAGTCAAACAAAATACAAACAGGATAGGAAGAAGTTGTTTGATTTTGAGATCAAATACCTTATGGCATATATTGCCTTAAGTGGCGTTTTGAACAAAAATATTTTTTAAGTAATTTTTCATCCAATCTACATGTTGATGGTACAACATTTTAAAATGAGCTTCGTAACAGTGGACACACTAATTACAACAACCCGAGGTTTTAAAGTCAATGGTAAAATAAATAAAATCTATAATAGTTAAAATAATGTTTTGTCTGCAAAATATAACTGTAAACGTCTGTGACAGAGACTATGGACAGGCAACAAAAAAAGTAAGTAATAGAATGTAGCCTACTTCTTCTCAGTAATATCGTCAGTATCAATATATTAGGTTATGAACTGATATCCTTACCGATCTATGGAGGGGCTCCCAGTAAAATGTTATTGCTGCATTAGGGTTCTCCTCCTGGAATTATAAAGTTGACTCAATATGAAACTCCAACAAAATAAGTTAATATATTGAGTTTAAATACTATGAATGGTGGCAAAATAAATGTAAGTAACACAACCATGATCAATTGTTTGTGTAGCGAAGTGGTTACGGTCCTATTGTTGGCAGACCCCGATGCCATTTTAATCATTGGGTTATCGATTAATGATGATATCCAACAAAAATATAGGACACGTTAACAAGTACAACACATACAATAACATCATTAAGGTTTGGAACATTCCCTTACAGAAAACGTGGATAAACACCAAAAACCAACTCATTTATTTGACTCATTCAAGTATTTCACCCTAAAATTACTAAATGAAAAGATATCAAGTAGCATAATAATTCAAACATAAAAATTATTAGCCTAATGTTTGTTAAAACTTAAAAGACAGTAATCCAAGGGAGTTTATAAGCAACAGACAATAGTTTGGACACTCCAACCATCATCATTCCCAATAGGCAAACGACAATGGGCAGCCACTTTTCCAGACGCATCCCATAACCTAACATCTAAATATTTGGTTTTGAAATAACATGTTGCTTTGAAATGCTTTTCAATGTTACTAAGTATACAAGGGAAAAAAATATCCTAGCCTACTAAGTAAGAGAATTAAACATGATAGGCAAAATTGGATTGGATTTTTTCTAAGCCTATTTGCAAAATAGAAGGAATAGAAAAATTATTACAGTCCTTACCAAATCATGGGCTTTCCTGCTGTTATAATTTGTATAAAACTTGAACCCTTCCGTTCCAAAGCCCTTCAGCAACAAGAAGCGAGCAGATGGTTTACCATCCCTAAAACAACAGAAGGTAGGTAAACCTAAAAACAGCAATACAGGGTGTTTGCAAAAGAATGCCGGGATTTTGAATGGTAAATACTTGGGAACTATTTAGTTTTGTTTCCCGTGTAGCAAGGCAGGAAACTTTGACCTTGGATGCACAAAACAGGTGCGCAGTGGTAGGCCGCTATTATGACAACACGCTTGACACCAGTCGCCAGTACGACATTTACGGCACAACAGAAGGCACAGAGTGTAATCTGTGGTTCTCAGAGTTTATATCGATTGCTAAATTAAACTAAATGTAAATCTACTAAAGAAATATGATGCTGGTTTAATGAGTTTCGTGGCAGAGACGTAGGAATTAGCTAACTCAGGAACTCGCTAACTCGGTCGTGTGTTGGAACTGGCTAACTCTGGAACTGGTTAACCGTCTCAGTCAGGAATTGGCTAACTCCGGAACCCGCTAACTCGATTTTGTCTCGCGGCGAAATTCGCTAACTCTGGAAGTCGCTAACCCGGCAGCGCCCACTGCACGGAGCGTTGCCAACATTGTACGACGAAATAATCGTACACTGCCGTATTTCAAAATTTCAGTATCAATGAAGATACAGTAAATGTTATTTTTTTTGCTATACATTCTACTTTTAACAGCTAACTAGCCCAAAGTAATTAAAATGTAATTTTAAAAAAATCATGAAAAGGTGTTTTTATTTAACTGTACAACGGCCAATTAAATGAAATGAAATGTCTTTATTGCCTTTAACATGATATAACATGCATTGCAATCGTCAAAATAACTTAAATAATAATATAACTTTGTGATTTTGATCTTAATGCCATAAGTATTATAAGAAAATAATATGAAAACATTGAACATTCAGTTTAGTTGGTACCTACTAAACAATTAAACCTCTACGAAATTAAGCCAAAATACACGGAAGTTCTGAAACACCGATTAGAAAGATAAGAAGAAAATAAATTAATTTCTTTGCCTTTAATACCAATTTTTTTAAATTTACCAATGAGGATGTCGTGATCAACGCAATCAAACGCCCGGGACAGGTCACAGAGAACACCAGCTGCTCTCTGAGATCCATCCAGAGCCCGTGTGATGCAGTTAACCATTCTTGCCATTGATGTTTGACAACTGTGCCCTTTTCGGAAACCAAATTGAGTATTGTTTAAGATGTTATTACTTTCTAAAAAAGATCTTAATTGAATATCAATAGCTTTTTCAAATATTTTGGAAAAACATGGAAGTAATGCGATAGGACGATAATTGTCTAGGTTGTTTTTGTCGTTTTTCTTAAATAATGGTCTAATTTCAGAATATTTTAATTTATCAGGAAAAATTCCCTGCTCCAGAGACTGGTTTATGAGCTTGCACAAAGGTTCTTGGATAACGTCTATTACATGTTTAATAACAAATAACGGAATTTCATCCCACCCTGAAGCCTTGGATGGTTTCAAAGAAAACACTATCTTTCTTACATCAGATATGCTTAATTTATTAAATGTAAACATATTATTTTGCTCACTGACCATGAAACTCATTGCCTTTTTTCCATCTGGATTAGATTGATACGACGGCGCTGAAGGGCCACCAACTATAAAAAAAAATATTTTTCTTAATCTCTGAGAAAAAACTTAGAATTCTGAGTTTAAAGTCAGAATATAACAAGTGGGCGTTCCACTCTGAGATTAAAGTCAGAATTCAACTAGTGGGCGTTCCCCTCTGAGATTAAAGTCAGAATTTAACAAGTGGGCGTTCCTCTCGGTGAAAGGAGTTATAATTCTGAGATTAAAGTCAGAATTGAATTGTGGGCGTTCATCTCTGAGATTAACGTAAGAATGCGGCCACCAATGCGGCCGTGCTACTATACTCTACTATACTCTTCTCACGGCCACCTTTAACTCCAGGGGCCCATTTCATAATAAACTACAAGTTACAAGTTACAACTTGTAACTTGTAATTTCCATTAGATTTGCATTGGGCGATCAGCTGATTTACTAATAATATTAGTTTGTACTTTATTATGTAATGGTCCCCAGGCCGCGGCCTGGTAGAATTGGCAACGTTGCAAGTAGAAGAACACAGTAGAATAGACAACAGAAATGATATTTATATTATTTCTTTTGTCTAAGATAGTAGGGATGATAGCATCGATATGCTGATAATATCGTTGCAATAAGAGAGGAACGCCAACAGTTCAATTCTGACTTAAGAGTTGAATGCCCACTAGTTATATTCTGAATTTTTTCCCAGAGAGGAACGCCCACAATTCAATTCTGACTTTAATCTCAGAATTCTAACTCCTTTCACAGAGAGGAATGCCCACTTGTTAAATTCTGACTTTAATCTCAGAGGGAAACGCCCACTAGTTGAATTCTGACTTTAATCTCAGAGTGGAACGCCCACATGTTATATTCTGACTTTAAACTCAGAATTCTAAGTTTTTTCTCAGAGATTAAGAAAAATATTTTTTTATAGTTGGTGGCCCTTCAGCGCCGTCGTAGATTGAACCTTATTTTTTACATTCAGAAAATTCTCATTAAAACTATTAGCCAATTCTTTTTTTATTTTGTAACTATTCTGTTGGGATGTATTCTCAATTTGATATGGAATTTCATTTTCCTTTTTATTTACGCCCATCTCCTTGTTTAGTACAGCCCAAGTGGCTTTAGTTATATTCGATGATTTTTTAATATAATTTTCATTTGACAGTTTTTTAGAAAGGGTAGTGACTTTTTTGAAAATTTTTTTATATGTCTTAAAATAGTTGATAAAGTCTTGGTTTTTGTTCCACTTTGATTCTTCGTGCAACAAACATTTATTCCCTGCCGAAATTTTTATTCCATTTGTAACCTAATTTTTGCGTTCACTTTTTTTATTTGTGGATTTAAATAGTTTTAAAGGGAATGCATTATTGAAATTCAACAAAACATTTGAAAGAAAACTATTGTAGTTAATGTTAACGTCAAGAGAGGGGTCAAATTGCCATAATGATGATTGTAAATTGTTCCCGAAATTTTCCATGTTATCACATGAAAAAAATCTTCTGAAAATGGATTTAGACTTAGTTAAATTTTTTGTGTTGATTTCACCCAGGCATAATAATAACAACACACCATTCACCTAGCCATTCACCTGTTGTGTTCAGTAGGCATTCACCTGGCCGGCTAAAAACAAGCGATGACATAGAAAAAAAAGAGAATCTGGCAATTCTGCATCAGAAGCCCAAAAAAACCATTGTCCGGCGAAGTCTTAAGTTGAATATACCGTACCTAAATCGACACTTCATGATCTTATCTTTAAAAGATAGTCTTTGTGCCTATAAAGATTCAGTTAAGACATCAGATAAACCCACCGATCGCTAAGCGTTACAGACTTTGCCAGTTTTACACTCAATCTGAGTTTTACTAAATTATTCTGAATTGTATCCAAGTATTAGAAAACATTTTTTTCTTTTCCCTTCAATTTGATGTTTAAATCGTTAAATTTATCTTCAATAGTCCCCAAGCAACGACCGTTTAAAATTCCGGCATTCTTTTATAAACACCCTGTGTTTCTAGTAAAAGAACAAATCCTTATTTAGGCCTATAGCATTTATTGTTTTTATCCAGATTAGAAATTACTACCATGGATTACAGAAGTATTACCTATTTTAAATAAAAATATCTTAAAGTTTAGTTTGCGCATAACATATAGAACATAGGACTAAAAGAGTTGAATTTTCCACTCTTGAATTAGACTCTCTTGAGTTGAATTACACTAACTTTGATGCAGTCGCTAGGCACATAGAGTTAGCCTCTGCAATCCCAGGAGTTTTGGCAGCTTCGTCGAACCAGATTTTGAACTGCTTTATAGGATCGATAGACTGTAGATCAGTTTCAAGGAATGTATTTTCTTTACCATGATACTTTGTACGCATGCCTGCAACAAAATTAAAAATTGTTATGAAAGTTATTTCTTAAGGGGAGTCGCTACTGAAACTAGTGATTTTTAATAAAATACTTTTAAAAATTATCATATATACTTTTTTAAGTTCATTTAGTCTTAGAAAAAGATTTACTGCCGTTAAAGTAAAAAAAAAAAAATTTACATACTTTTTGGAGTTTTTTAAGTTTTTTGGCGGGAAAAAATGGGGTTTTTTAAATCTCTTATAACTATTTAACTACTGAACCAATTTTATTGTTCGATATCTTATTTTAAAGAGCAAGGAAAGCACATACTTTCTGTGCATACTCATGTTATTTTCTCAATTAGTTTATAAGTTATGGCTTCAAAAATAAGTTTTTGAAAAATTTATAGGTTATAAATTTTTATAAATTTTTTTTCATGTACTTTTATTTACCCAATTACAATATCCATGCACAGAAAGTTGATTTATAGTACAAACAATGTGTGGTAAAAATTTCATTCATATAGCTGCAATAGTTAAAAAGTTATAAGAACTTATATATAAAAAAAAACAAAATTTTAAAGTCGCGGAAAACAGCGGTTGAAGTTTATACGTTGGTTTATACTAGGCCTAGTTGAAGCCCCAAAAGAGGTGTGCGCGCTTCACTTCAAATATTTTTTTCACAGTGAAAAAAATATATATTATACCAAATGTTATGTTTTTCTGAAACCTTACAATCCATAGAACAAGATAAAAAAATAATAAAAAAAATCAAGTTTTTTACAAAATTGGTAGTTTTTCAGTAGCGACTCCCCTTAAGTACAATTAAGTTATTATTCATAATGCTATATGAGTTGGCTTTTAAGAGTCCTTGGAGGCTAGCGGCCATCTTGGATAATTTCAAATAGCTGATGACAAGTTATTTACTGTCCAAAAATATTTTTCAAACACCAACGTGATTATAATTAAAATATTAGTATAGTGTGAGATTAATGTTCTTTGTAGTTTTGAACTGTTCTCCAAGGGAGTCCATGGAAGCAAACGGCCATCTTGGATTTGCCCCCATAAGAGCAATGTTAATTTTCTTAATTTCAAACAGCGTCGAAGAGTTATTTACCATCTCATAATATTTTTCAAACACCAGAGTGTTAGTAATTTAAATATCTAGTATACTGTAAGATTAGACATTTTCTTTGTAGTTCTTTAAATGTTTTACTCTTAAGTTCAGAGTTAACTTAAGTTAGTATATATCAGTCATGAATTCCCAACTTAAATTTGACAATGAATCAATTATTTGAGGTGGTTGGATATTTTAATTTTCAAGAATAAATTATTACAGATACGCATCCGGTAACCGGACGTGGATTAGGCGTCCGGCAGTGACGTCAACGGGTTGTGGGGGCCCGGAACGCCATTACCACAACGATACGATGTACAACCATCGGTGTTCGTTGTGTGGTGTGGTGGATAGCCTGATGTGAAAGAAGTCCCTGGTTTGAATCCCATCGGTAACTTTATCTTTTTGTCAAAGATTTTGCTTTGAATGTACTGTAATTTCTTCTTACTACATCTTTTGTTAGAATTTTTGGCATTTATAATTGTATTTTATGAACAGAATTTAACCTTCATTCGATTTTTTAATTATCAGCTAAGTTAAGTAGTTTGGTTGGTTAGGTTAGGTTATGACAGTAACTGCCGGACGTGTATCCTCTGCGTAAATTAGGCTATAACACAAGATGTTTATGTACCTAACTTAAATTTTAAACCTACAAATGTCTGCAACAGAATGTGAAAGTTTCAATAATCAAAGACAATGTTTAAGCAGGCCTACCTAAACCAGTTCCTCACTAGCATGATTTTTGATTGAAAGCCCAATGACAAAAATGAGCCAATGACAAAAATGGCATCTGGGTCCAGGATCGATCTCGCTTGGAATCAAACCAGCAACTATCAGGTTCGAGGGGGAGTATTAATAAGTTAATTCTAACCACTCGGGTCCACAGACAAATTCTTTGACAAGTGTAGCCTAAATACAAATTATGGTCCATAACGTACTAGGATTAGTCCAATGACTTATTTAAGGATAGAAGTTGAAGGCATAACTTGGAAATAAATTAAGTTGAATCAAAAGACATGATTTAGCCCCCCGAGCTGAATTGATAGTAAATTAAGTTGGTTAATCAAATATACCCCTACCACCTACCTTGAATATTAATTTCATTTTCACTGCCCATATTGATAGACGATAAAAATCGACTAAATTGAAAATTTGTTTGGCAAAAATTTGAGCTGATATGTCTGAATACAAGTCTACTCATTCGGTTGTATAGGCCTACTACAGTAACTCTTCTTAGGGTACAGTTCATGAGACTTAACTTAGATAAGCACTTCAATATAAGGATTGTTAAGTTGATTGCATAACTGTTAATGGCCTTAGTAGTCTAAAGCCTGTATTTAATACCTATACTTAGTTGTTTATAACAGTAACACAATTTACTATTGATGGGTTAGTTTTTGCCAAGCAGATTTCATAAGTAGAAGGAAAATGCGATGCAACTCTCTCTAATTAAGTTAATTCAACTTAATTCTTCATTCACTAACTAATTTCGACTAAGATTACGAATAAGAATAATTTTATTCAAAATACCATCAGGCCAATCACTTAAGATAAATAATGTAAACAAACAAACACACTAACCAAACAAAAACAAAATTTACAAAATGTGAATGTGACACTACCACTGCAGCAAAAAAACCAGGCTGAAGATAGCTGACGTTCCATCTGACGGCCTGTTTTTTTGCCCATTTGATTTATGACAGGCCGAGTGGTAACTGGATGGAATTCAAAATATAGTAGACCTCCCTCCATGTGGATACCTTTGGAAATGTAGCTTGCTATTTTATATTTTGATTAAAATAAACATTATTAATTTCATCGGTTAGACCACGTTGTATGTATGTATCTGTAAAACTGATGTACGTTTTCGTGTTAAATATGTACCGGTAAATTGTTTAGGACTACTTCACTTCTACATAATAATTCAGATATTATTATTTATATTAGAAACTTATGGGAGAAAGTATGTGTCAGAATGCTGATACCGTTTATTATTTATATTAGAAATGATGAAATACATTTGGTATTCAAAAGAATCCAGGTCCCAGGTAGAGTAGGGAGTAGAAATTGCAATTCGCCCTAAGCCTAAGTGGAATGTAAAGATTCAAAACATCCAACTCGAGATGCATACCACTTAGGTGAACGCTGAACTCCCAAAACATATGAGTAAGAATTTACCTGGAAAGGTGGATGGCCTTATTGAAATTCACCCAGAACTGAAAATTAGCTTGAACTTAAATTATAAACGTACACCTCCCAACTAACTAAAATATTATTTAGCATTCTTAATTTTGGTATTTTAAGTCGATACGGGTATTGTTTTTGGCTACCAGTAAATAAGTAAAAAAAAAATGTATTACAATTATTATTGTATGTAAATTACATTATGATTATTATTACATTATGTGTGTCATTATTATTATATGTAAAAAAATGTATGTATTAAATAACAAACAATGGTACCAATATGTGACTATCACAATATTATAGATATCAGTGTTTACTACTGATATATATTATCAAAACTCTTGACACTTTCCAGAAAGTTGATTTATCAAGCGTTGAAAATTAGGTTTTGACTCGTGATCCGACATGTGCGGGTCTCGGGATCTGCGAGTTAAAAAGTTGTCATATTCGATTAGTTATTACGCAAGAACAAACAATGGTACCAATATGTGACTATCACACAATTATAGATATCAGTGTTTACTACTGATACATATTATCAAAACTCTTGACACTTTTCAGAAAGTTGATTTATGAAGCGATGAAAATTAGGTTTTGGCTCGTGATCCGACGTGTGCGGGTCTCGGGATCTGCGAGTTAAAGTTGTCATTTTCGATTTGTTATTACGTAAGAACAAACAATGGTACCAATATGTGACTATCACACAATTATAGACATCAGTGTTTAATACTGTTATATGTAATCAAAACTCTTGACACTTTCCAGGAAGTTGATTTATCAAGCGTTGAAAATAGGTTTTAGCCGGCGATACGGCATGTGCGGGTTTTGGGATCTGCGAGTTAAAAAGTTGTCATTTTCGATTTGTTATTACGTAAGAACAAACAATGGTACCAATATGTGACTATCACACAATTGTAGATATCAGTGTTTAATACTGTTATATATAATCAAAACTCTTGACACTTTCCAGAAAGTTGATTTATCAAGCGTTGAAAATAGGTTTTAGCCGGCGATACGGCATGTGCGGGTTTTGGGATCTGCGAGTTAAAAAGTTGTCATTTCCGATTTGTTATTACGTAAGAACAAACAATGGTACCAATATGTGACTATCACACAATTGTAGATATCAGTGTTTAATACTGTTATATATAATCAAAACTCTTGACACTTTCCAGAAAGTTGATTTATCAAGCGTTGAAAATAGGTTTTAGCCGGCGATACTGCATGTGCGGGTTTTGGGATCTGCGAGTTAAAAAGTTCTCATTTTCGATTTGTTATTACGTAAGAACAAACAATGGTACCAATATGTGACTATCACACAATTGTAGATATCAGTGTTTACTACTGATATATATAATCAAAACTCTTGACACTTTCCAGAAAGTTGATTTTTCAAGCGTTGAAAATTAGGTTTTGACTCGTGATCCGACATGTGCGGGTCTCGGGATCTGCGAGTTAAAAAGTTGTCATTTCCGATTTGTTATTACGTAAGAACAAACAATGGTACCAATATGTGACTATCACACAATTGGAGATATCAGTATTTACTACTGATATATATTATCAAAACTCTTGACACTTTCCAGAAAATTGATTTGTCAAGCGTCGAAAATTAGGTTTTGGCTCGTGATCCGACATGTGCGGGTTTTGGGATCTGCGAGTTAAAAAGTTGTCATTTTCGATTTGTTATTACGTAAGAACAAACAATGGTACCAATATGTGACTATCACACAATTGTAGATATCAGTGTTTACTACTGATATATATTATCAAAACTCTTGACACTTTCCAGAAAATTGATTTGTCAAGCGTCGAAAATTAGGTTTTGGCTCGTGATCCGACATGTGCGGGTCTCGGGATCTGCGAGTTAAAAAGTTGTCATTTTCGATTTGTTATTACGTAAGAACAAACAATGGTACCAATATGTGACTATCACACAATTGTAGATATCAGTGTTTACTACTGATATATATTATCAGAACTCTTGACACTTTCCAGAAAATTGATTTGTCAAGCGTTGAAAAGCGTTGACTTGTAGTATCCAAACCCAATGGTACATGTAAATGAATAGTCTACTTGCAGTGTCCTCAATAAATCAATGGTCCATTTATTTTGTTCACATAAATAAAATGCCTAATTGCAGTATCCGAAGTCAATGGTAGGCTTAGGCCTACTTCTGCTTCACTTAGCCTATATGGGATGTCTATGAGCAGTATTCAAAGTCAATGATACTGTTAAAGATGTAATTTATTCATATTATAATGTCCATAATAGTTATGTTAGAAAAGAACATATGATGTTTCCTTGGCAACAGAGTTTTTTTGTTTGTTATATTTTGATGAAGTAAGATGTATACACAAATCTAAGTTTTTCATTCTATCAGTTTTACTATTAAATTAACTTAATTTTTGATCCACAAGACGACTTGTTATTTTAGACGATATTTCCAACATGGTAGCAGAGCGTGGTTGGTTAAATTAATTGAGAAGAAGTTAATAGAATAGTGAATGATGAGTAATGAAAAACAGATTGAAAAATTAAGAGGGACTGAGAATTTCACAACATGGAAAATAGTCATGAAGGTAATCTTAGAATGTGAAGGAGTTTATGGAATTGTTAGTGGAGAATTCGGAAAACCAACAGCAGGTACACCAAATTATGACAAAAAATTGGTAAATTGGTCAAAAAATGATGCAAAAGCCAGAAAATATATTGTTTTATCCCTTGAGACGAATCCTCTACTTAGAGTAAGCAATTGCTCTACAGGAAAAGAGATGTGGGAGAAACTTGTCCACATTTATGATGTCAAGTCAACTGAAAATATTGACATATTGAGAAATAAGTTCCATAACATTTCTTGGGAACCTACCCTTGGAATGAATGGTCATCTGGAAAAGTTTGACAAAATTCAAAACCAATTAACAATATACGGTAAGCCTATTAATGAAGACGATTTGTGTGCTCGACTCCTTCAAACTCTACCAAAGGAATATGATCACATATATGTGACTTGGCACGACTCACCAAGGGAGGTGAAGACATGGGACATTCTACAGAAGAAATGTCTCAACTTTGAATTACGTCTAAAGGACAGAGACGAGATGGATGTAGCAGTAGCCATGGTTTCCAAAATAAAAGTAAGTTCTAAACAGCCAAAATATATGGGAGCCAAAAATGCCAAAAAGGGAGACTTGCAAAAATTAGGAGCGATAAAATGTTTTTCATGTGGCAAAAATGGTCATCTATCTAAAAACTGTAGAACAGGTGTAATTTGTTTTAAGTGTCACACAAAAGGACATAAATCAAATGAATGTACCCCCCGTGAGATACAAAATGCTGCAATGATGACTCGATCAAATCTAGAGGTAGGCCTAATTGATAAGTCATTTTTCAGTGAATGTGACAACTGGCTTGTTGACAGTGGTGCTTCTCACCATGTGACAAACCGCAGGGACTGGTTCGCCACTTACAAACCATTTGATACTCCTAAAAAGATGGACAGTGCTCGCCAAGGTGTTCATATTCAGGCCTTGGGGTCAGGAAAAATAGACGTTATGGTTTTTGATGGTAAACAGTGGACTTACAGGTATTTCGATGATGTTTGGTACTGTCCTGATGTTGCTTGTAACTTATTCTCAGTGAGGAAAGCAGGTGAAAAAGGCATTCACCAGACTGTGAAAAACAATGGTAAGTCATGGGTGTTTTCTCAAAATGGAACAATCATTGCTTTGGCTATATTTAATACAGCTAATCAATTGTATAATATGGTTGTTAAGGTCATTCCACCAAAAGAATCATGTTTTATTTTGAAGAAAATAAACAATAACGATGATAAACACTACTTTAACATTGAAGAGAGTAGCAATGATATCGAGCATGATCCCCTTGACAGTAGGCAATCAATTCTAAATGATGAGACCAGAAATCAGCTTGTTGACAGTAATCAGGACAATATATTCCATGAAGATGAGCAAGATATTGTGTATCCAGGAACCAATGATACTGATGAGCAAGACATGTTGTGTCCTAGTGATGATAACGCTATTCCAGGTGATATATTACAAGAGGAGACTTATAACCTGAGAAAACGTGATGGAATAAAAATACCTATGAGATATAGAGATTATTCTGTCATGTGTGTCAGTGACAGAGATAAAAATGAGCTTTTAGCTTCTGCAATACTTACAAACGAAGTACCGGAAAATTATGATGAAGCAATTAGATCTGAGCATGTTGTCGATTGGAAATCCGCTATGGATGAAGAAATAGATTCATTAATAAAAAATAAAACTTATGATTTGGTTGATCAACCAAAAGGAAGAAAAGTCATCGATAATCGCTGGGTATTTGCACTGAAAACAAATTCTGAGAACGAGATCATTCGTTA